TTTCTTCCTTCCTTCCTTCCTTCCTTCCCTTTCCTTTTTTTGATGACTTAAGTTCATTTTACTGTTTTGTGTTGTTTTTTTTTACTAGAGGTATTCCATTAGACAGACTTGCAGGCATTTCAAAGGAATGCACACATAAATGCAGAACAAATACAGATGAACAACCAGAAGATATTAATGACATGAACATGAGCTGTATGACCTACTGGTACTAAGATACGTTTACTATCCACATTCTCTCTCTCTCTCTCTCTCTCTCTCAGAAGGTAGGCTGGGAGGATAGAGACCACTTTGTTTACACATTCTTTCTTCCACGGGTTTGTCTGTATTCTTTCAGAAAATCTTAACATTTTCTACAAGGAATTATTTTTATCAGAAAAAAAAATAATTGTGATTTTCCTAAAGGACATATATTTTGGGTTCTAGAAGTGTTTTGGAAACCACTTGTGAAACCTTGAATAGAACTGGACACATATTTGAGCTCACTAACCAACACAAGCTCAGCCTGTCACCTTGCCCTTAGTACTATCTTGCTGCACTGAACTAGCCAACCACAGTTAACTACTCCCAAGAGAACAGAATATTTGTCTTGCTATTTATAGAGAAGTCTGCAGAGCCAATTCTGAAACTTTGGAATAAATTTCAGTGGGAAAAAAAAATTCGGTACTTTCAACTAATTGAATAAACTTCACAAACAAGCACACTTATTTTCTTATAATAATGAGGCATACAGTTCCCCCAAGATTTGAAAACAGTCGTGAAAGTACATTCCGCGGGCATGAATGCCCTCCCCCGCAAACATTTCTTAGGCAGGCCTTCTGCTACCATTGTACTTTGTCTGCTTCTGTGACTCCCGAGCGCAGCACTGAAATGAGCAGTGAAGCATGTGCCCCAGAACCGTATAAATCACACTTTGACGGCAACCTTAGAAAATTAATTTCGGATGCTCCCACACAGTCTGCTTGATTTGTGCTTCTTGCTCTTGGCTGGTACTAGCGAAAGCTTAGTCAGACACCTTCTCACGCTCTGCTCTACACTCACTGCACTCACCCCATCCCAGAAAGTTGGCAATAAGGCTCTGATGACTTAATGTAAATATCCAGAGATCTCAATAAAAGTTAATCAAAACACGTATTATAAACTTCTATTTCCAGGACCCCCCCTTCGTTGGCCACAATTTTCTGAGGGAGCTGTGGCTAACAGTCGGGTGCCTATAAAACTCTCTGGAACTTCAACTCCATGTGAGTCACAGAGAGATGGAAAACTATCATTTTCCCCTTTACAGAAAAAAGCTCTACCAGCACAACTCTGTCCTTGTTAGAAAGACTACAGCCTCTCTTTGCCATAGCTCCATGCAAATGACCAGTTAATCACTGATGTACATGATAACTCAAAATATTTACTCGCATACAGATTAGACTTAGCCAATGCATAACATTAGCATTCGTCATGTGCATATATGTGCACAAAAAGAGTTTTCTTTGGAAAGCAGGGCTGACCTACCCAGTGGCTGATTTGGTGAGGATCCGTCTGGGAAACAGAGAGGCAGATGGCTGCTGACAATGTGCAGATTAGCCGTGCCCCTGCACTCAGATGTCAAAGTAACCAAATTCTTTTCAAATCCCTCCTTTCACTTTTGAAGCAGAACCAATGAATGAAACACTATTATCGGAAATCTTTGTTCAGGTAAAGGCTCTGGGAACAACTGGGGAAAATGTATTGCCTAGACAACAAACCACTTGGCCCTACCTGCTGTGATCTCAGAATGGCAGCATCGATCTCCTCCACCTTCTGAGTGAGGGTGTCGCTCACTAATCGGTAGCGCTCATTGTCCTCCGCCACCATTTTTTCAAGCCCCTCCCTCGCTCTCCAGGGCACCAGTTCCAGTAAGGCACTGCTCACTTCATTAAGGGAATCCAATAAGGCTTTGCAGCTCTTAGCTTCCTTTTTCAGCTCCTGAAAACAGAATTAAGAAAGCATACAAACCTGTGGGTAAATGCTCACATGTCTGAACAGGCTTCTCCTTTAAATGTATTTGGGGCTAACATGCTTTGCAGGCCAAGAATGCGATGCATTGGCGCCCTGGATTTCAGCTAAGTTCTAGAAACCTTTGTTATTTCAAGCAAAAGGGAAAGTGTTTCCTGAAAAGTTCTGAAGGACAATTCATTTGTCAACATGGCAAGATTTCACCCTTGAAATTTAATCTGAATGTCTATAAGCTGGGAAACAAAACCAGGCAGTTAGCTTGTATTATTCTTTGCTGTCTGGCAACCCCTAAGTCATCAGGTACCATGGAAGTAAAATAAAGAGGGAAGTCCAAGCCAGAATCAAGTGACCCTCGAAATGAGGACACACTGGCTTTAAATCATCCCAGCTGAATCATAATAGGCTCAGCAAGCCTGACCTCACCGACTCCCTTTCCCCCACATATGATCATACTTCAGGGATGATAAAGGCAGACTGATATCTCTGAAAAAAAGATGATTAGCAGGGTAGAAGACCACATTTGCAATATAATTTTAAAAGCCACCTCACGATATGCATCTGTCTCATAAAAATAGTGTTATTCTAACCAAATTACGTGCATCTCTGGAAACGGTGATCCTTTTCCTTGATTTTATTTTTCTGTTTTCATCATCCTGTCTCTTGTGTAATAAACTGTAAGACTCTGAAAATAAATTATAATGCACTGTTTTCATCTCTGGGTTCCTAAAAGTTTACACAGTTGACCTGCTGCCAATTTCTGTTGGGTCCCCGCCCACCAAGGCATCCTTCAGCATACTAGTAATGACATGAGAGAGATATCACTTCATTCCTGTGTGAATAAGACGCCCCCTCAAGATAACCAACGGGTCCAAGGTGCGTAAATCAGAGCGTACTTTTTGTCGCGCTTGCGCTTGGCTTGCAGCTTCTCCCTTCAGAGCCTGAGTCTCATATGAAAGCAATTCCACCTCCACTCTGTCCAGCCAGGTGCAGAGCTCCTCGTGTGTGCAGTGCAGCCGGCTTGCAAGCTGCAGGGCCTGTTCCAGGGTCTTGGCTACATCCGTGCTCAATTTAGTAATGTCTTTGTACCTTGCTTTAATGGCTTCCAATTTATCTTGAATTATTAAAACTTCATCACCTAAAATTTCAAAGGCATGTTATAGCTCATGAAAGGAAAAAGAGAGGGGGCAAAAGTAAGGGTTTCTTCAGATATTATTATATACTGATGAGATTTTCTGGGGGGAGGGGGGGAATTTTAGAAAACATTTTTCTAAAGAAGTTCTGACCCACCCGGCCAGCATGGCTCTGTGGTTGAGCATCGACCTATGTACCAGGAGATCACAGTTCGATTCCACATCGGGGCACATGTCAGGGTTGCAGGCTCCATCCCCAGTGTGGGGCGAGCAGGAGGCAGCTGATCAATGATTCTCTTTCATCATTGACCACTTCTCTCCCTCCCTCTCCCGTCCTCTCTGAAATCAATAACAAATATTTTTAAAAACACACAACAAGTTCTGACCCAAGAAAGGCCCTTTTCTGGGTTTTAACCTTTCCCAGGATTTCTGGAAAATCTTAATAGGTCTGGAAATGCAAATATGAAAAGTGGAAAGGACCACAGTGCCTTCAGTTATGTGGAAAGAATCACCTTTGTATCTCTCTGTATGGTGCTTCCAGCTCTCAAGCAGAGGAGTTAAAAACAGTCTGGATTCAAATACTGACTTCATGGCCTAAAAACATTGAATTTGTGGGCGTGTTTCCTTTCACAAGATACTTAACCCCTTGCTGGCCACTTATCATTACATGAGGATAAGAACAGAACCTACTTCATAAGATTGTGATAAAAATTCAATGAGTATATATTTTCAAAGTGTTTAGAACAGTGCCTGGCATATATGTGTGCATATATTAAAAATAATATACTAATCTGCATGATTCCTCTATCTCATTTTCAGACACACAGAGAAATTGTGTCCTGGGCTTCAGACTTGGAGTTCAAGGCTCTAGATACTATAATGAATTTCTCCATCATGCACATGAACTGGATATAGGTCTAGTGAAACTTTCCGATAGCCAAAGGAATTACTAAAACAAGTTAGGTTGTATCTGTTTCCTCAGTAAGTTCAAGCATGAAGATATGACACCTGGGTTTAGCCACAGTATGTATCACTGAATGCAGTCTGTCTTAAAATATATAAAAAAAAAATATTGTCTACAGTCTATGCGCTCATCTAGAACAACAGCCTTCTGCAAGTGGAAAACCAATGTAACGCCAGCGTCAGCTTCTCTGACCATCTCCTGTGCCACAATGCTGTGTGTCATGAGTAATACACTCAACTTCCACTAAGAACTCAAGTGAGATCATGAGAAAAAAAGTGAGATCATATTCCCACCCAACTTGGTCTGTCTTCAAAGCATTCTCTAGAATGAAGGCTTGGAGTGGCCCACAAATGAAAAAGTTTTTGTTTTCCCCCATTCCTAAAATAATTTGAAAGCAATGCTAAATGTTGACTCTATAATTACTTAATTTAAAAGATATCTCACCTGTTGTTTGTTTAAGTAGTTCTAAACCATTTAGTAATGCCTGATCTACATTTTGTTTTCTGAGTAGTATGTCCTCTTGCAGAACCTAAAAGGCAGGTACCATTTTCATGTGGGGAAAGAAAAATTAAATACACATTAGCATTAGTTAATATTACAGGACTTTAATTAGGTTTTATAGAGATATATTTGAGTAAACACCCACATTTTCAAATATTCATTATTGTCCCCATGATTACCCTCCTCTTTCTGTCACTGTGGCCCAGGTCCCAGGTTAATCTACCACAACTGACAGCACTGTCTGTTTCAGAAATTACTTAGGGCCCTATGAAATGAGCTGTGTGGAGATATTGGAGCACTAGTTAATTATGGGTCTTTGCATATGGCAATAAAATAAGAAATGAAAAGTGAAAAATCGGTTATTGGATACATTCAATCTCTTTTTTAAGATTAGTTCACTAAAAATAATCTGTATACACAAAGTATTTCTTGAGTACAGCGATACACCTAAATCAAAACGAACATAAAATAATACAGAAATAAGGAAGACTCAGAAAATAATGACAACCAAAATGAAAAAAATAAAATAAAATAAAATAAAATAAATCAAAATACCCGAAGTTCAGACTGCTGCTCCCACAGACCCTCAGTGCTGTAATCCTGGACTGAGAGCTTGCTCAGTTTGTCATGTACTTCATTCAGCCAATTCATCAGCTCCACTTCATCTTCCCCAAAAATCTTAGCATTACACAAGGCCTGCTGGAGGAGCTCAGACCTGCTGTGACTCTTCTCTTGAATCTCAATGTACCACACTTGAGAGGAGTCTAATTTATTCTGCACCATATCTTTATCCTCCCTGGAGCTCAAAACCTTTAAGGTTTGGCCAATGCTAATAGCCTGGTGTAAATGTTTGTTGTGATTGATGATGTCATCTTCTAAGGCCTAAATGAAGTTTTAAAAAAGAGAAACAAACAGAATGGACAAATAAAAATAAAAACATAAATAGAATGAAGAGTTGACATTTGAAATGGATTTAATTCACAATTACTCATAAAAAAAATAATACATAACTCAAATTTATGTCATAAAACCAAGAAGGGAATGGAGAACAGAATCTTACTAATGTGTGATGGGTATCTTACTTTGTGCTGTGCAATTTGTTCCTCCAGTTTGGACGCTTGGGTTCCTATGGGCTCACAATTCGCCAGCCTCTTTTCTATGGTTGTAAGCCACTCATTCAGTGGTTCTAAGGTTTCATGAAATTGTTGTGCTACCACCGAGATACCTTCCAACTGACGATTCCTACAAATGTGCCAAGATAAAGGTCCTTTAGGGATGAAGACTGTGTGAAATATTCAACAAAAATCTTCACTCTCTTGCTTCTGAATTCTGTTCCAAACATTTTTTTGTAGAAAATTTCTAGGGCTAAAATTAAGATCGCTCACATTTAAAGAACATGTTAAAATAGTTCTATTAAATAAAACTAAAGTTGAACAACAGACCAACCTCAAGTGCCTGAATCTTATGAAAGTCTTTAGCAACTTAGTTATAATATTTAAAATAATAATAGTTATGATAATAATAGTTATTATAATAATAGTAACAATAGTAAAGTTATAACAACAGTATCATCAATAATAATGACAATAAGATAATATTTATTGGACACATTTTTTGTAGAAAAAAAGTAGAGAGTATCTCCCATGGGAGCCAGGGCACAGTGTCCTGGGGCATTACAGAGAAGGAATAATCTACTGACATGTATTATAGGTCAACATGAAACCTTTAACCTCTTCAGGAGCACCTTATTCTATGGTCCTAGAATTATAATTAATTCTACTCCATTATCCAAAGTCAGCCAAATTTTTCTTTTCACCATTTTAGCTCCAAAGGAGGTAGGAATGCATGGAAATATTCTATCCAGTGGTTCATCGATTTTCAACCCAAAAAAATCTATGTGGCTACACTTCAGTGTAGCTACTACTCAAAAACTGGTCAATGGAGAGAATGCAGAAATGAAATACAGCAATGTTGAGTGCAAAGTGGAGCCATTCACCTGCCTAGTTTCCTAGCTAACCCCTACTCCTCCTCTAAAAGATAGCTTAGCTGTCACTTCCCTGCCCCAAAACTAGGTTCTTCCTATTAAATGCTCCCATGGCACCCTGTATTTTTGCTTTGAAACATTACATTTGTGATTACTTTCCCAGTGCTATAAAACCCTACTAGACTGTACCCTATCTGAGGACACAGATGATCTGTCCATTTCATCCCTGTAACCCAAGGCCCAGTTCTGCGCCTGACACATAGCAGGCAGGCAATAACTATGTAATAAACAAATGAGTAATCACCCCTGAGAGAAATGTTTTTCTTAAAACCAAGAGTTGGGATATGTTTGGTGATTATAAGACACCATTAGAGGAATGAGGAGAGAAGTACCACACACAGCCCTTGCTATCTGTGTTCACATGATAAACGTAAGAAAAGTATTACCAAATAAATATCTGTATTAAAGCCATTGCTTCTCTCCCAAAAAGATCAGAAGTAGTATTTGTTACCTTGTTTCAGCTTTATTAAGCAATGCCTCCCATCTACTATCCAAGAGACTCAGTTGTTTCAAAATCTTTACTTTATCTGCAGGTTCTGCTGTGGCAGCAATTTTTTCTCCTTCTCGTTTGATTACCTCTACAGTAGATTTGCGGTCATCCAACAATCTTTGGAGAAGCTTGAAAGAAAACAATAAATATAAAAAAGTCAAAGGAATAATTGTATCAACATAAAGAAAAATCTATTCTAGGCACTTTTATTATGTGCCCAAAATATATATGTTGTATGAATTCACATGCAAAAGGATCTGAAAAGTAGGATTTTAAGAGTAACTCATTTTGCTTAATGACTCATTGTGATTGTGTCAGACACTGGGTTAGGGGCTTTTCATGGTGGATAAAACTAATATTGATAAGGCCGCCAAGCCACTCATTAATAATTTTTAATGTAAAATAATGGGGTAGGAGGTGCTGCTTAGCATAACTCCACTGCTCTGACGGTGACCATTTCCCATTATTGAAATGAAATGGGAATGTCCTATACATTCAACAATTATTTGTCCCATGAAGACAAAACAGATTATTACAAGTCATTACTGTTTTCAAAACCTTTTCCGGTGTTAAACAATGCAGTACAGGCAGAGAAGGTGAGACACAGACCAAGTTCACAAAGCTCGTGAGGCAAAAGCAGAGGCTCTTGGCTCTTTTCACCAGGTGGGGTTCGCTCCTAAAATCCTCCATGAGGATGAAAACCAAACAAGAGCTTTTAAATATCACTCCCTAAAGGAATAGGGGGTGGAATGTATGAGAACTCTCCAAAGCTGGCTAAATAAGACTAATATTTCAGGATTTAGCAGCAGGAGACAAAAATTCAGTTCAATTCTAAGTAAATACTTCAAGAAGCCTGGAATGGAATGTTTCTTATAGGTGGGCAGAGCTCAGGGCTCCCTTGCTCTTACCTAAACAAGCAAATATTTCATGAGCAAGGCTATCTATGCACAGGCACCATGTTAACTAACAACAATGAGGATGGCACAGGGGATAAAACACCAACCAGTTCACTGTTTCCTTAATCTGATCCTGACAGACAGTTAAGGAGTTAGACATTGACGGGTACCCAGAAGTAACAAGCCAAAAGTGCATTCACTCACTTTCATTTTGTAATCAAGACCAACAAAGTAGGAGGTAGAGACACACATTTAGAAAGAAGAAACACAAACTCTCTTGACACAGGTTAGAGCAGCCGTGGGCAAACTACGGCCCGCGGGCCGGATTCGGCCCGTTTGAAATGAATAAAACTAAAAAAAAAAAAAAAGACCGTACCCTTTTATGTAATGATGTTTACTTTGAATTTATATTAGTTCACACAAACACTCCATCCATGCTTTTGTTCCGGCCCTCCGGTCCAGTTTAAGAACCCATTGTGGCCCTTGAGTCAAAAAGTTTGACCACCCCTGGGTTAGAGTCATTATAAAATCAAAGTCCACCAGATGGTTTAGGCAGTAAAGAAAACTACTTAAGTGGATTACTTCTGATCAACTTTAATAGCAAAGCCTCTGGCAATTAAGAAAGCAAAATCAGCAAATAGGTTTTGTTGGCTAAGCATAAGTTCAACAACTCTGGGAGAATTATAAAGATTTAAATTAAACTGCGAATGGCAGCAGTTATTTTATATATTATATATTTTGAATATTACATATATTATATATTATTTTACTACATATTATACATATTATTCAAAAATTGCCTAAATGCAATGTGTTTCCTGTGATGTTTAATTCTTACCTCTAAGTCTATTTCTAATAGGTTAATTTCCCAATACAAAAGTCTTCAAAGTTCTGAATATCAAAATTAAATGAAGCTTCTTATTCCATTCCCTTCTTCTTAAGGTTTCATCCAGAAGAAACCTCACCAATGTGTTGTGTTCCAGGCCCCTCCCACATGTCCTTTCATGTCATGGCTGACAAGTTAGTACTGAGAACATCACTAAATGCGACCTAAGTGACCAGCACCAGTGGGAGCACAGCTGTATGTGAGGTCCCAAGTAGACATCACCCCTCTAATGAGTGTGTCTTTCCAACTTGGTCCTTACCGAGTGTCAAAAGACACAACAGCACATTCCTTAGCATATGTGAATCAAATATTTGCTTCTTCAGTATTTAATCTATACTAAATGCAATCTCATATGATCAACCTAATATATAAGGGAACAGTGATATTTCTGTCCAAAGTCCCCTTCTTCCTTGACTTCTCTATTTAAAACTGCACACACACACACACACACACACACACACACACACACACCCTTTACTCTAGCATTTCCTGTCCCTCATTCTTGTTATCACTTTCTAATTTTTATCTCTCATCCCTGCTTTACTTATCACTTGCTAACTTATCACAATTTACTTATTCGCTTTATTGTTTCTCTCTCCCTGTTGCTACTGTCCCACAAAACCGTAAACTCAGTGAGGAAATTTTATCTTTCTTATTTGGTGATATATCTCCAGCACCCAGAACAACGCCTGATCCGAGGCACATGATTCCATAAATATTTGTTAAATGGACAACAAAATAATGCCTAGAACATCAACAACCAGTTAACTGAGATATCCTATTAACATAAATAAAGAGAGTCTCATTATTAATATGGCACAGGAAACACAATACAAAAGCATCACTGACTTACCTTTTGCTCTTGTATCTGGGCCTTCACCACTTTGAACTCAGCCGATGGTGGCTTCTGATTGGCCACAAGCTCCTCGGTGTCCACCATCCAGCTGAGCAGGGACTCCAAGGCATCCTGGAACCTCCCGCAGTGCAGCAGGGCCTCCTGCAGCTGGGCTGCTCGCTGAGCCACCTGCAAAGTTCCAGTTGGTCCCACTTATTTACTAGCTTAATAAAACAATGAAATTGCCTACTGGCCACCACTTTTCATGTTTATCTTCCTATTTGGTCACAAATTTTCTTTTCCTTTTCATATAAAATCTACCCAAAGCATAGATAGTGGACAGGATGGGGGGTAGAATAGCATCAATGTTTAGCAAGTAAGCCAAGAAGATAAGGTTGCCATCAAAAACAGTCAATGTAAAAGACAAAATCTCTGCGATTTTGGAAATATCCAATGCATTTATGATTAGCAATGAATGATTGAAATATTTTCAGGCTGCTGAAAGAAACAACGCATTAGTCACTTTTATCATTATCCTTGAGATTCATTTTTTTATTTCCTACTGATGCATATCAGGGATAGTGATAAAAAAAAGACTACGATTAAAAAATAACTATTATAACGGAGAGAATGAGAATTCTGTTTTTGCTAGGCAAAATAACTATAAAGTACCCAATTAAATTCTGCTAGCTCCAAGCTCTGAGTCCTTATTTAACTGACCAGGGCCTTTGTCTTCTAGTAAATGGAATCTCTGGGTCTTACAATACCCTACTGCCCTTCTCACAGATCTCCTTTTTGGACTAAAAAAGTAGTTGGCAAGATATTTTAAGCACTACGGAATATATTTTCATCTGACACTGCATTCCAATTGTGTTCAAAGTGCACTACAATATGAATCCGACTTCAAAGAATGATAAATGTGGGTTTGAGACCTGGCGATGCTTAAGATTTCAATGCAGCAAAATTTGTATGCGAACCATCACCACCACCACCAGATAGGCACTGCCATCTAATAACAATTTTCTGATCATTTATGTCATGCGAAGATCTGCTATTGTGTGTCAGCATTATCTCCTTAAGGTATCAGAGCATTATTTCCCACATGGGTATTTTTTAAAAGGTGGGAATCTCTACCTTTGAAGTAAAATAACATTTGCTGTCAGTGGTCTATCAGGAGGGTGGCAACCCTTAGCCCAGGGCAGATAGACAGGCATAGTTGCTTTCACTTGCACAGTGTGACCTATTATACAGTGGAATTAGTTGCTGACATTTGAAAGTTAGAAGATTTCACTAAAAAAACTGAGATTTCCAGGTTCCTTGAAAGTAAATATACCCTTTGGCAACAGTGAGCAGGACCCCTACAAGGCAATGCTTTGCTGGAGCTAAGTGGTTACTGTGCCTTTAGAGGTGCATGAGGTCTCTCAACACAGGACAGTGTCATGGGCCACCTGCCATTACCCCTGCACTATTGTGCCTCTATCAAAGTCAAGATAATGACAGGGAGAGGCCCTGTTTCCTCCAGCTAGCTCCTTTCATTTATGCTTCCTAACAAGCCCTGTAGGCATTGGAGTTTGGGCCATCCAGTTTATAGCAATATAAAAAAGTGGACATGTTTAGGGAAGTCTGGCTACTGTAAATACGATTTGTGGTCACAACAAATGCTAGTGAATTATAACAAACAGAAAGGACAGCGAAGGGGAAGGGAAAGTTACCTTTTTATTGAGAGTCTTCCACCTGGCATTGACATCGTCCAGGTCCTGCTCCAAACCTTGGGTGCTGGTGCTGTTAGCAGCACTCTGAATTAGGCCCTGGCCCAACCAGTTTACATCTTGCTGTTTAACCTGCAAGGGTTCAATCTCTTCTTTCTGGAATACCTGCAGTTGGAAGAGCAATAATCATATGAATTATATGACCTAATAACCACCAAATATAAACATTTATTCAGTGATCGGATATCAATCATTAGAGATAAAGATAATTTTTGTTGCTATGGTATTATTCATATCATAGCAACCTTATTAATAAGAGTCAGAAAGTTAACTAAATATAAACTCATAATACTAATTATTAACACTATTCATGAATACAAAATAATAATAGTCTAAGTGCATTTAATCAGATTACCTATGAAACCAAGAAAACAGTGTATGTCCTCTCTTTACTGTTTCATTATCATACCACTAGAAATTTCCTATCATTCCAATTTAACTATAGTATAAAAATGTATGAAAAATGCTAATGAACAAAATGATAAGATGGGTCCAAGATGAACCCGTTTACTGGGCAAGGGTTCTTATAGGCTCTTCTAAAAATGCCTGCTGTTAGCTGGCATTAAAGTTTGATGAATCACTGGCAAGATGAAGTGAGCCAAGATGCCAATTTATGACTTGCCAGATGGGCCAAAATACAGGGATCGGAAAAGAAAAAATGGCATAGGCAAGTACTGCAGTAGTATATATCCCTAAACATCTAGCCCCCTCAATCTCTATCAAGATGCCAATAGGCTTGCAAGGCATGTATACCTTACCCCAGGACCTGATCACACATATCACTAGCACAGCAACTGTGGTTATGCTTTGGTCACTGCCTCCCCTGTCAGCAGCTTTCCAGAACTGCCCCCTGAACCGGACTCCTCCTCCCATCCAACTTACAGTCCCCAGTTGCCTGCCTGTAACTGTCCAAAGAGCTACCGTGTTAGAGCAAAATGCAAGCTCCATGGAAGCAGAAAGTTCTCTTTTCCTTACAATAGTTTCAGGCCCTGGACCTCCCATAGTACCTAACATGCAATATTGTACTTGATGATTATTTGCCAAATAAACATCAGTATAGAAAAATAGTATTATGTCTTGGAATGAATGATAACAACCCCTAAACAGATTATACTGGGGGGGAGGGGGTAGATCAACATTTTCAACATTTTCATAGACAATATAAATGTTTTCAATACAGGAGTTAAAGGATGTCATAAAGAAAATAAGTTAATTTAACTCAGAAAGGAAAGTTTCAGCTAAGATAGTAAGGTAAGACAAGGTTTTGGTTCTGAGCTGTTATACTATAGGGCACTATACAAATATACCAATAGCCCAAGTGAACAAACAGTTAAGCAGAACATACAAAACATAACAAAGGCAAATATCAAAACAGTACTTAAGATAAAATTCAGGCACAGTGTGGAAAACAATTTTGAAAGATGCAGAGGCTGCAGGAGACAAACTCTCTCGACTCTGGCCAAGGCCCCAAAAGCAGGCTGCTTCCGTGTTATTGTATGAATGAGTACATTAAGGAACAGCAAACAAATAAATGATCATTTCCTCTAGAAGTCCCCTCCTATATAGACAATTTCCACACTGGAGAACTGTTTCTATATAACAATACCATATTCACGTAATCAAATAAATTATAAGAATTCCCCAAGTCACTGAGGAACAAAAACACAAGTTTCCGTAAGTTTTTAAAAGGCATAAATTTACTTAATAAGGCAATGGAAAGTTGAGACAAGGTGGTAAAAATAGAGTTTGGTGCTGTATTATGATTCTATTTCTTTTCCATACCACTTTCTAAGTTACTACTTCTATGAATCGCTGTGGATATGTTTTACCACACACACACACACACACACACACACACACACACACACGAGGAGGAGGGACTGCTACATTCTTAAGCCCAAGAACTTGTCTGGTACATAAGGATTCAGGGAAAAGTTCTATTCTCCCTCTCAGATAATTTTCAGGACAAAAAAAGTGCACCCTAATATAATGTTGTAGTAAATTGCCTTAATTTCTTTCTTACCTTGGTTTTAAAGAAGTTAATTTTAGAGTTGCTTATCAGAGTAGGTCTAGGTGAGTCTGTGGTAATTTTCTGAAGTACTACAAAAATATACTAAGGGTTATAAAAGTTAACTACTAAAGAATCTATGTACTCCTAAGAGCTTCATTACTTTCTACAAATAAACTGCAAGATCCTTTACATAAAAATGTACTTAGCCAAGCTTTTAAACTAGCATGTCATTTAAAGCATGCTCAAGGAAAGGGCATTGCTGACTCGGGCAATTATTTCATGGACTGAGAAACTTTTCTGAAATTGTCCAAATCCCTTATCTCTCAGTGGTAGCAAAATACTTATCAAGAGAGACTTTCCCCTTAACCTAGTCCATAAGCACACACACAAAGAGAAGCTTAAAATAAAATAAAATTACCTCTGAGGCAAAGTTTACCAGAAGAGCTTAGAAAAACTACCAAAATAACTGAACTTCAGTCTAAGTGGGAAGAAAAAAATTACAGGCCTGACAAACAACCTCTGCTTATTACGGGGCTGCACCCTTCACTTTCTTACCTCATTCACCACTCACAAAAAGCCAGGCGCTAGCTATCGGGGCTGCAAAATACAGCACAACGTAACTTCTCTACTGCCACATGCAGAGCTACTGAGAGAAAACTTTCAGCACATTTTAAAACATCCTTAATTTGAGTGGAGTACTTCGCAGACCACAACAATATAATATTGTGTTTGTACCTTCATGACTAAGCCTGTTCAAGCTTAATAAATCCAATGTAACTGCCCCTAAATGGCAGTGTCTTAAACCACAGTTTGTGTAAAAGCTGAACGTTCACATAAATTCACAGTGGAGGCATTCTAAGTGATGGCACACAGCCACCAGCTGCACAACCAACAGCAGGACTCTCAACAGCTGGGAATGATCATTCCCCAAACCCCCACCTAATTAGTTTGCTGTAATGATCAACTTATCAATATCTGGCATCTCGTAGGGCACTAGTCACCCCACCCCCAGATGAAACACCAGTGACCACTTGAGAACAGAAGCACAGAATTTGGCAGGGCAGGGTTTCACGTTTCCATGAGTTACCTGAACTGACTGAAAGCCATTACAGACTGTGTCCAATACTCCTGCCCGGGCCCTGGTTTTCCTGGGAGCTTTCTTTCTCGCTGCTCTGAATTTCGGGGAGCACTTCGTATGGGCCACCTCCATCTCCTGGGCAGAAAGAGGAGCCTCCACTTCCTCTTTAGGTGCAGGGTTCGATTCTTCCGAATCGCATGGTGTTAACAGAGTCGCATTTTCTTCTAAGCTTCTGCTACCACCATCTACGTGATTTCCCCCCAAATCTAAATGAGAGCGCCCCAAATCCTCAGGAGAATCTGCCTTCCATTCCCTGCTTTCTGCTGTGATGTGGAATTCTCCCGGTCCATATGTTTTCCCTTCTCCTCCTGGGTTAGAGATACACTCGTTTTCTCCATCTCTAATTAATGGGTCACACTTCACAGGGGTCTCTTTCCAGTCATTCTGCAGGCAGCAGTTTTCACCAGGGATCTCCCTCGGACCATTCACACCAGTTGTCTCCTCCAGGGGAGAAACACCATGTAAAATCATTTTGAAGTTCTCCTCAGGGTGGGCACTTCTACAGGAAAGCAACGGGATTTTCTGTTCACTAGTGGAATGGGCAGGAAGGAAAGGTGCATGTTGTTCTGCTATATGAACATCTTCAGCAGAAGACACGCTTCTGATTTGTGACTGGTCTCCAGTTAAAATGGCCTGTTTTTCTTTCCTCTCGGCTGGAGGGCTACATAAGCCAGAGTCGTCCTCCTCCGACGTGAGGGAATTGGTCCCCCACCTGCACTTGCTGGCCTTGCTGACAGCCTGGGACACATCAGTAGGTTCAACAAAGGAGCTTTCACTTTTGTTTGCATAATCCATAAAATTGGCTGGGACAAACATCCGCCAAGACCGTCTATGCTCTTTCTTTTCCGCGTGAGATTTGGCTTTGGGTAATCCTGTGGTTCGGATGATGTCGCTATTGAGTTTGAGCGCATCAAAGATCATCTTTTCATCTAGGGTGTGAGCTTCCCGACCTCTCAGCTCAAACACATTGGAAGAAGCCAGGGCACCGTTGGAGCATAAAGAACTAACATCCAGTGTCCTGTGACTGTAGGGCAAAGTCCGATCTCCAAAATGCCTGGAAGCCAGGCTGCCTTTTGAACCCGAGTCTATCTGTTCATTTAGTCTAACAGTGTCATAGATCGACCGCTGTGGGACATAACAGTCTTCGATATTCAGGTCCTCCTCCTCTTCACCCTTCCCTACACATGGGGGATTCTGACGTAAACAGTCTGGTCTGCTGAGTGGCTTCCCCATTGTGCAGAAAGTTAAAGCAAATATTGCAGCTCTTGAAACAGAAATTAAGAAATAAGGCAAAGCATCTTTTGAAAAAGTATACCTCTGCACAGAACTATACAGTGTCTTTAGCATAAAGACACATGCTCAAATAATACACGTCATAATCTATGAGGTGTTTAAGGTCATCATCAGTGCATCAGTCTAAATGCAACTATCCTTGTAGCTGGTAGTTTTTAGAATGATTCTAAAAAAATAAAGTGCATCAAGAACACAGAGCAGAAACCTCCACACCTCCCCGTTCCCCAGCCCCCAAAGTTCCCTTTCACATACTCCAAAACACAGAAAACAACAACAAACATACACTTAACAGTGGCTCAAACAGTCAGAACATTCCATTGTCAGTTCATTTCCCTTTTTAGTCTAATTTTGCATCCGAGGTTTCCAGATTAAAATGTCCAAGGGAGCAAGCATTTTAACAGGCTGAACGCTAACTTAGGCAGAGTGCTGGTTAACTGTAATCCACTTAAAGATGGCTTACAAAACTTCATCTCCTGTATAAATAAACCATGCTTCAGAAACTTAAAAGACAAACACAGGGACCGCGTATTGTCAGATGAAGGCACAGAACAGATCTTCAGAGGAAAATCAGTCTAATGTTGTAAGAAAGTTAAAATTTTCTTTTGCCTTTTT